GTCTCTCCTAAGGCGGCCGGACCCACCTGCCTGGCGGCCCGGACGGTGCCACCCGCCAGCTCTGGCAGATCTCAAGGTGACTCGGCCTCCAGGCTGGGGCTGTCTCACGTGCAAAACGCCTACCATGTATTTTCAGAGTAAACGCATTTATGTGAAAAGCAGCCGGTGACACGGGCTTCCCACGTGTGAGTGCTTGGTCAGGGGAAATGCCCTCATGGCGGAAACCCATCTGGCTAGAGACACTTGAGGCAGAAAAGGATCTGTGAACCCACCAAGGAGCTAGGTTGTCTTCGGTGCCTAGGAGGGTGACTCCCATCTCAGGCACCTGGAAGACTGCCTGCACAAGCCGACTGCTGGAAGCAACAGGTGACCTTGCCAGGGTCTGGGGTGGCCAGCAAACTCGGGGCAAGTAGGGAGTGGGGTGGGGCAGTTGCTCCAATTTAGGTTTCTAGCGTTTTCTTTCGGCCAGTGTTCTCCAGGACTTATCGCACAAGCCACAGGTGCTGGTGAACGCTTAAAATATGCTAGTGCAATGGAGGAATTGAATTCTAAATTTAATTTTATATGATATTTTAATTAATGGAAACTGACCAGATATTCAATTCAGTTACTGAAAAACTTTTAAGTGTATCTGGAACAATTTGAGGATGTGAATGTATTTAGGACTGCATATTTAATGAGATCTAAATACAGATCAAGTACAGCTGATGAAAATTTAATATCTGAATTGGGCTCTAAATGTCAAATTCTCACAAGATTCAAAGACAGCATGCGAAAAATGCAAAATGTCTCATTAATAGTTTACAGTTGAAGTAATATTTTGAGTAAAACAAAATATACGTTAAATGATTCTTACTAGTTTCTTTTCCTTTTTTTGAATGTGGCTATTAGAAAATGGACAACTACATATGAGCCTTGCCTGAGTTTTTTCTCAGCCCCACTCCTCTGGCCCCCACATTGAGGCCTGGCCCTTGGCCTGTTCCATGGTCTTGCCTGATCTCTGGAACAGCTGCTGTTGGACGAGGCCAGATCACATGCAGAGGCTGAAGCTGGTTTAGCTCTGCAAAAACACTGTCTACCTAACTGTTATCTCTTCTAAGAACAAGAGACTGGAAGTGACCATCCTGACAGCCAGTTTGGGAGCCAGAAGCACACTAGGACGGTAGGCCTTCAGGGCCAGGTTAGCCTTGGATTAGGGTAATGATCAAGGAATATCTGGCTCTGAGAAATTCTCATGAACCAGTCTGGAAGGGAAAAAATTCAGGGCTACAAAACAGCCATTTCTGCAACCTGTATTCAAAATGAGGGTTTGGTCACAAGGACTGTGCTCTGGAGAGCAGGTGCGTAAGCCCCATGTAAGACTCAGAACCCAGCTCCTTCCTGAGAGTCTGAGTTCATCTGTCAAGGCTCTAGAAGTTCTACGTCTGCATATGAGGCAGGAGACACAGCTGGGGTTGGGGAGCTGGGGAAGGAAGCCCAGACAAGGTTCTTACCCTTACCAAAGTCATGATCCCGTATCGTCCCTTGGGTTCAGCCCCACTAGGGACCAGATTACCCCACATTGTTCTCCTTACCTACCACTCCTGTGGGATTCCTGGTACCCTCTGAACCATAGCTTGACCCAGTGGGCCCTGTGTGCCTCTGCTCCCAATTAGGCAGCCCTAAGTATAATCTTACAGAGGACTAGTGCTCAGAGGCTGAAGGCATGTGTGTAGGATCCAGGTTGACCACCCTGCACCCTGCACTGTGCCCCACCTCCCAAACTCCAAGGCCACACAAGTGGCGGGGGCTGCCTGGCCAGATTCCGCTTCAGTCCCAATTCTTGATCCACTAACACAAAAAAGCAGGGCAGAGGGCTTATGCAGCCCTTCCTACAAACAGCCAGCCAGCTTCCTCCACTTGCTCATTATGCTGGCTGAGTTTGCCATGCAAACAGAACAAAGTCCAGACCTCCTGACCACAGGCAACAAGCCTGCAGAGTTACTGTGCTGCCCTTAAAGCTTTCAAGTTTACATTGTCATTAACCTTCCCAAAGAGGTTAGGTCCTTGGTTCTGGCCTGGAGTAAGTGGCTCATTTACATCTCAGGTTGAGGGCTTCGGCCTTGACCTTGACGTTTTTGCTTTGACAATTGAGAGATTCCTCTTGGAGACAAACACTTTGAAAGAAGAGAAACTGTGACATGAATATTACAGAGGTTTCTCTGAGACTCAGTTGAAGCTGGTTTAGCTCTGCAAAAACACTGTCTACCTAACTGTTATCTCTTAAAAAAAATCTCTTTTTAAATATTTACTTCTACTTTCCTGTTACATATTTTCCAATTCTAGCCATTAGGGCTGTGGGGCTGTCACCCAGGACTGGGTCACTTTCAGGCTGCCAACTATTCGAGAGGCTTTGGCCATCTGCTCAGATTCCCTACTCCCAAGAGCATGTGAGGAACACGCTATGAGAACAAAGGGGAAGATTCACTCCGTTTTGATTAGACACCAGTGGGGTACTGTTTAGTTTTATTAGATAAAAGGAATTATCCATTCAAGTCAGAAGCGGCAAACTATTGCCACATTAGAGATTAGTACCAGAAAACCCAGACGCTGGGCTGGCTAGTAGACCCTCACCCATGGCTCCAGGGAACCAATGATCTAATTCAAGGTCTCTGGCTTCCCACAGGCCCACTAAACTTCATGCCTTCTAAAGTCCTTCAGGGAAGAGACCCACCATCAAGATCATCCCTGGTAGCACCCAACTAATCTGTCTGCTAGGAAACAGCACTGAGACTGTCCCTTCATGGTACACATCACAGCCATGTCTCAAGGAAACAGAGATCCATCTCAGCTCTGTTTTACCAGTTGAGAGTAAGCACCCAAATCCCAGGAAACAAAGACTTTTTTCTTAACTATTCAAAAGAAATCCTGAAAGTAATGAAAAAATAATGTATAAAACACCGCTTAAACCATAGACTGCAAACTCAAATGCTCACCTGAGCCAGCACCAGGCAGGTGTCATGTGAAGGAAGTGCAGTGGGGGATGGGGTGGGTGGGAAGGTAGGAGAGGGCATCTAAGTGGAGAAGGAAATGAAAACATGCCCTACATCCACCCAGAAAACTAGATTTTTTTTTTTAATGTGCCAAGTCTCAAACACTGGCAACAAATACAAAAGATTTTTAAACCCTATAACTTCTGCCTTAGACAAATTCCTAACTTATAACAAGCCCCCTCCCCACCACCAGATAAAATTCCAACCAAAATTATTATAAAGAGATCAATGAGGAAATAGAAAAATATAGCAGCTTCGAATATACCAGTCTCCCCAGTTAAAAGTAAAACCAATGAATCAAAATTTCTTGAATTCCTGCTATGTATAGATGCCAGCTGGATCTATCTACTGGGGAGACAACCCTGCATTATTAAAAAATGTCACTGCCACCCAGGCCCAAGGAGGATGTTGTCTCGTGGGACCTCACACCATCCCTGCGAGGCCAGGGAGGGGTAGGACCTGGCTCCCTGTTATGGAAAAGAAATTGAGGCACAGAGTAGAGAGGGCCCTTCCTTAACATCACAGAGCCCCTCGGCTAGAGGCTTCCGTTCTACAATTTGGCAACATCACAGAGAAAGCTGAAATAACAACTGGAAGGCCGCGAGCTAAAGAGTGGGCACGACTGTGTCTGCGGAGCGAATCGAATCGCAGGAATGCATGGGCGTGGCCACTTCCCTGAGGGGTGGGGGGTTCCCACCGGGGAAATCAGGGGCGGCCCTCCCGCTTGAGTCTGAAGACCGGATTTCTCCAGCGCTCAAAGTCGACAAGAGAGGGATGCTGAGCAGCCTGTGGGTGAACACAGGCCTTGCCGGCTCTGCAGGGAACATCATCGCCCTGTCTGACTCAGGCCACTTAGAGGAAAGGCTGCACACACCCTGGGGTGCCACAGTTCTGCAGACCCTCAAAGTAGAGAGCTACCGGTCTCCTTGGCTTAGAGAAACTGAGGTACAGGGCTGAGTCTGCTTTGACCTTGGGATAGGAACTGAGACCCAGAGCTGACCCGAGCATCCCCTGCCCCCTGCCTTCCTCTGGGTGGTGCTGTGGGCAGCTCCCAGCATTCTTACCCTCCAAGGACTTGGCACAGAAAGTCAATATCAACATGAGAAAGAGAGCAGCCCTTTCTTCTCACCGGCATGCAGGGCTATTTCTGTCCTGGCCCTGCAACACAGGGACCATCTTGGCTCTGGCCTGACAGGCCCCCGGGGCAACAATGTGGTCTTTATTTTGGCTTGTTCTAAGAGCCAAGGTCCCAAGAAGCCTGACACTCTCTGGGGGGACTCTTCCCAGAATTTGACAGGAAAAAGGGACTGGTTCTTCCAGTGTCTCAAAGGTGTCACAATATTGAGTGAACCAATTCTTTGCTGTTGGAGACCACCCTGTACATTGCAGGATTCCCACTAAATGCCAGGGGTGCCCCACAGTCAGTGACCCACCCCAACACACAGGTTTCCAATGCTGCCTGGAAGGGCAGCCTGGCCCCTGGCTGAAAAGCCAGTGGGTTGGCAGCCCCTCATGCATTTGAAAACAGAAGTCCCAGAGATGGAATGACACACCCCAAGTCACAGCCCAGATCTGATGATATCTGGCCCAGAGTTCCTTCCAGCTGCACTCTCCTGCATGTGTCCAGAGTGCTGCACACACCCTGGGGTGCCACAGTTCTGCACAGCCTCAAACTAGAGAGCTACCGGTCTCCTTGGCTTAGAGAAACTGAGGTACAGAGAGCTAAAATAACCTTACTATGATCACAGTAGCAAATGGCAAGTGGAGAGCCGGTCCCAAGGGACAGTTTTCCTAGGCCCTGCCTGTCTTAGCAAGTCCTGCTCCCGAACTGGCAATAGGGAATGTGACAGCCCCCTAAAAGAGGGGTTTTCACAATCACCACCAGACAAGGTCGGCTTGGGGGCTCAGTGAGAAGGGTCAGGCCTCAGGGTGTGGGTCAGAGCCAGGGACATTCCGAGGGTCCAGCCTTCATCTGGTTTCTCCAGTGGGCTCAGGGGGCGTGTGAACGACTCCATCACAGGCTTTGGGTCCACTTCCACGGTCTTCACAGTCTCCGTTGGGAAATATGGTTGTGAGTGCCAGCTCCTCCTGTGAGTCTTGGAAGTTCTCTGGAACACAGAAGGAATGACCAATCAGAAGAAAAAGTTTATAAGTCGGTAAGCAAGGACTGAAAGGGAGGAAGTTGCCCCAGTGAGTATCTACTTTAAAAAGCCAAACAAAATACAGATCAAAAACCTTAAAAATGTACATACCCTTTGACCCAGCAATTCCACTTCTAGGATTTTATCCTGAGGAAATAATTAGGAATAATTAGTGGAACTGCTGCAGCCATCTTGCTTCCAGTCTAAGGAGGAAACATACATTGAGGATGGCCCAGAAGAGAGGAGGAAAAATCCTGAGTCTTTGTGGAGTTCACTGAGTTCCTGGATCAACCAACTCTGAAGCCAACTCCACCTCTGAACTGTCCTTTAGGTGTGATAATGAATTCCTTTATATATCTTATGCTGTTTTGAGCCCCAGGCTTCTTACCCAGCATCTGAAAGCATCCTGATTCTGATTCAGTGTCCAGCAAAGGGACTCAGAGAGAAAACTATGACTCACACATATGGTGGGATTCAGCATTAGAAATGATATATGAAGTTCCATAGAACTAAAAGCACAAATGAGTGCAGTAAATTAGGGAAATCGGAATATGATCTGTGGATTACGCCCATGTCAGTATCTCCATTGTGTTACAAACACTTCAGATGTGGGCTGGGGATGTGGCTCAAGCGGTAGCGCGCTCGCCTGGCATGCATGCGGCCCGAGTTCAATCCTCAGCACCACATACAAAGATGTTGTGTCTGCCAAAAACTAAAAAATAAATATTAAAAAATTCTCTCTCCCTCTCTCATTCTCTCTTTAAAAAAAAAACAAAAAACTTCAGATGTTACCATGGGGGACACTAAGTAAAATGTACACAGGAGCTCTTTCTCTTATTCCTTATAATTGCATGTTAATCTACAACTACCTTAAAAAAAATAAAAGATGTTACTGACATAATTATTGCCATAATATGTTATGGACGAAAAAAACAGATTCCATGGTAAGTATAAGGTCTTTTAATTTAATTTTTTTTTAGTCGTAGATGGACACAATATCTTTATTTTATTTGTTTAATTTGTTTATGTGGTGCTGGGGATCAAACCCAGTGCCTCACACAGCACCTCACACACACTAGGCAAGTGCTCTACCACTGAGCCACAACCCCAGCCCAAGTATAAGATCTTATATTTGTCATGCTTATTATAAATGTATGTACAGTTGACTCTCTATATCCCTGTATTTTTCATCCACAGATTCAACCAATTAAAAAAAGTTTTATCTGTATTGAACAAATACAGATTTTTTTCTTGTCATTATTTTCCTACATAACACAGTATAACAATTATTTTACATAGCTTTCACAATACTATAGGGATGTAAGTAATCTAGAGATGATTTAAAGTATACAGCAGGCGGTCTGGGTGTGTAAATTAATGGTAGAGAATATGCTTAGCATGTATGAGGCCCTGAGTTCCATCCTTAGCACCACAAAATAAATAAGTGAATAAAGCATACAGAAGGATATACATAGGTAAATTATACACCATTTTACATAAAGGACTTGAACATACATACATTTTGGTTTTCAAGTGGAGTTCTGGAGCCCATCCCCTTGGATACAGTAGGATAAAAGTACATAATCCATAAATGAAATTTGCCTTTTAATAAATTGAGTTCTACATGAGATTTGTTATATGCTACAGAGAAGGAAGTTATCCAAAATTTATGTACAACTGTTAATGATTCCTTTGCTTTATTTCCCCCCTAGGTTCATGACAGATGCTAAATGATGACCACAAAGTTAAAAGTTAACATTTTTGTGATTGACTGTTTTTTTTTTCCTTAATATTTATTTATTTTGAATTGTAGTTGGACACAATACCTTTATTTCACTTATTATTTTTTATGTGGTGCTGAGGATCGAACCCAGGGTCTCCCACGAGCGAGGCGAGTGCTCTACCGCTGAGCCACAACCCCAGCCCCTGATTGACTGTTTTGAATACCTACTTCATTCTGCAGATTAGATATTACCTAGAAGTAAATATTAAAATTTAAATAGTACAAAGACAGTGAGAGAAGGAAAGACAGACAAATGGAATGGTCTACCCCCAAATATTGATTGTTGTTACTGCTGAATGATAGGATCAAGTGAACTTTTAGTATTCATTTTCCTTTTCTTAAAATATTTTTTAAGTTTTCAACTACAATAGGCAAAATTTGAAGCTAGCCCCAAGATCATGGCCCTTTAAGTGAGCTGCCCCTGTATAAACCCCTCCTTTGGTGTGGGTGGGCTCTGGGAATACAGAGACAGGTGTTGAACAGGGAGCCTCACAAGACAGAGGGGATGGCTAGTCACTCCTGTAACTACCTTAAACTGTGACACCGCCTCAGATTAGAAACAAGGGAGTCGATGTTGTTGGGGGGCCTGGTGGGAGCAAGAACAAACAGCCCCACTAACAGCAAGTCAGGGACCTTAATGTTTCTAGTTTGAAGCTACTAACTTTTGTGGCAATTTCTTTTGCAGCAATATAAGGCTGACATATCAACTATTTTTAAAATAAGGGACACAATGTCAGTTTATTTTAAACTACTGCCCATTGTCTTTCCCTTCCCTTTCTCCTGTCCCACACTGACCCTTGGGCCACAAGAAGTCTCTCCTGGGCTGCTGCAGTCCCTGACAGCTGGGCTCCACCTCTGTGCTCTCCCTGCCCCACAGTCCAGCCCCCTTTCTAAACCACCCTTCATCTTGACAGCTCTGCTCAGAAATCACCAGTGGCCCTCTACCCCTGAAGGACATTCAGAGCCCCCGGTGTGGCCTAACTCTCCTCTTCACCTCAGGCCTTTACTCTCCTTCTGTACCTCAACCCTGGACACTTCCGAGGGCTTTTCTGATATCTGCTGTCAAGCTTCTGCTCGGGCTGTCCTCTCCCCCAACCTTCTCATTTCTACTTACAGAAAGACCTCCATTCCCAGCTCACATGTTACTCACTCTGACACTCCCTGGATCCTCAGGGTGCCTGACTGCAGAGGCCCCCATGCCGCTCACCTGCATTACAGACCTCCTCACACCTCCTTCACTAGGTGACACTCCTGGGGCAAAAGCCCAGCCTTCCCACTGCCTGGAGGGGAGGCAGTTCACATGGCTCCCCCCATGCCCACATGTATGCAGCAGGTGCTCCATGGATGTTCTTTTGCTCTGTCCTTGAGGCCCCTGTGTCTACACACCCAGCCCTCAGGAAGGTCCAGGAAGCTGAAGCACTCACCCTGAGCTGGGCATCTGGAGGAGGTGGCATCTTGGTCCTTCCTCTGGCTCCAAGGACCCCAAGTAAAACAGGCCAGCAGTCCTGGGAGGCCAGATCTCTCCCAAGTTCCTTCTTCTAGGAAGAACACAAAGCCCCTCAGGTCAAGGTCAGAAAGATGGCTCCTGCTTCATAAGACTGGAAAACGTTCTGTCCAGCAAACCAAGAGTCTCAACTGTCACCGGTCCTAGTTTCAACTGTGATCATTTCATTTCATCCTCGCAAATTACTCTATGACATGGGTACCATGCTGGGAAAACCATAGCAACAAAACGTGAAATTAATTACAATGACAAAGCACCAAAGAGAATACTCAAGGGCAGAAATGCCTCCCTGATTTTTAGTTCAAACTTTTGCTTAACAGAAATAGATTTAATATTTTTTTGGTAATCACATATGAAACAATTATAATTTGAGACAATATTGATTCTAGTTCTTAGCAAAATTAAAGTACCATTCCAGTTATTTGGAGATCACCTGGGATCCCCAAGCATCTGGAATAAAGTCAACAGGAAATGTTTTCTTTTCCTTCTTCTTCCTCTTTTTTTTTTTTTAAGAACGATTTGGATCCAGGTGTGGGGGCACAAGATTGTAATCCCAGCAACTCAGGAAGCAGAGGCAGGAGGATTGCAAATTCAAAGCCAGCCTCAGCAATTTAGGGAGGACCTGTCTGAAGATAAAAAGGGTTGGGGATATATCTCAGTTGTGAGCGCCCCAAGTTCAATCTCCAGTACTGCAAAACAAATAAATAAACAAAAATATAAATTAAGAAAATAAAAAGGACAGGGGAAGTAGCTCAGAAGTAGAATGTCACTGGGTTTAATCCCCAATAAAGGCAGGGGGAAGTTGGAGCTCATTGGTAGAGCACTTGCCTATCATTCTTTTGGGGGTCAGAGTTACTGGGGATTGAACTCAGGGGTACCTAACCACTGAGCCACATCCCCAGCCCTATTTTGTATTTTATTAGAGACAGGGTCTCATTGAGTTGCTTAGCGCCTCAATGTTGCTGAGGCTGGCTTTGAACTCATGAACCTCCTGCCTCAGCCTCCTGAGCCACTGGGATTACAGGCGTGCACCACCATGCCTGACTTATCATTTTTAAGGCACTGCAAAAAAAAAAAAATAAATAAAAAAAGAATAAAAACTTCTGGCAGCAGATAGGCAAAACAAAAAAACCTGTTTACAGTCTTTACTCACAGATTATTTACTCTTAATTTATATCCAGTTCTAACAAGATGGGATCCTTAGGCTTTCAACCCAAAGGCAGCTGGATTAGACACTGAAACTGTGTAAAGCAGAACTGACACAAGGCAAGCAACTTAAAAAAAAAAATTATCATCTGCAGGCAGCAAGGAAAGAAATCAGAAAACTTAAAAACCAGAGCATCCAATAGGAAAACCTTAGCAACGTGAGTCCATTTGGTGTGAGGGTAATAACACTGTCCACTGCAAAAGCTGCAAAGAAATGGGCAGGCAATAAATCATAACTACAGTCCCTTTATTCAGTAATGAAAGCTTTCATTTTGTTCAGTGTGTGTGTGTGTGTGTGTGTGTGTGTGTGTGTATGTTGCTTTTTTAAAAAAAAAAAAAAAGTAGGGGCTGAGGATGTGGCTCAAGCAGCAGCGCACTCGCCTGGCATGCGTGCGGCCCGGGTTCGATCCTCAGCACCACATACAAACGAAGATGTTGTGTCCGCCGAAAACTAAAAAATAAATATTAAAATTCTCTCTCTCTCTCTTTAAAAAAAAAAAAGTAGGAGAGAGTTTAACATAAAATGATGCCTTTGCAAAGCATTAAACTTTTTAAAGTATTTATTTAAAAGGAGGTGAAGAGTCATTTATCCCATTCTGTATGCTAGGCAAGGTGTTAGGAAGGGGACTACGAGCATGATTAAACCCACAGGGAACGGGCACAAAATCACATGGTAAGAGCTTAGACAGCAGGAAGGCAAAGGGTTCTGGGTTTTCATCAGTGAACTTGCCAACTGGAGTGCGGAGCTTTCCAGGAGGACTTCCTGGAGGAGGAAGTCCAGTTTGAATGGAGAGGTGAGACTGGCCAAGCAGAGAGGAGGAGGAGAGAAAAGGCTTTTCAGGCCTTGGGTACAAACATTTAGGAGGCCAGAGCAAGCTCCCATGGGAATGGGAGAATCCAAGAGATTAAAGCCTGGGAGAATTTTCCAGGCATCAGCTCATTAGGGTGCATAAAATTTGTGTGAATTTCCTTCTTTCCCCCAGAGGGCCAGGTCAGGGAAGAAGGGGCTGAAAAATTGATTAGAACAAGGCTCCACAGGAGGTATTTCCCTTACTAATGGCTGAATTTGAGGCCTAGAGGCCTCAACAGAAAGTGGGTGAGGGTGGGGAGGCTGGGGTGCATCCCAGCTGAGAGGGATAGCCCTTGCCAGGCAAGCTAGACTTCGGGTGAGTCTGTGACTTTTTTAGCATCACAGGAAGCAGGTCTCCCTGCTGAGAAAGCAACCCCTCCCCATGTCCGGCATCTCCCAGTAGCTGTCCAACCAGATACCCCAGGAAACACAACACAACCACTCTAGTTTTCATTAACCCTTCAGGAGGTGGAGGCTGCAGGGTTTGGAGGGCTGCCCAAGCTGAGTGGGGAGCTGAGTGCAAAGATCTCCTGGTTTTGCCAGACTCAGCATTACTAAATGTCCCCATTTTAACCCCCAAACACTGGAGAGTTCCTGTAAAACCTTGTGAACCAGGATGGGGGAGATGCTGAAGCCTGCTCCCTCTGTGGACAGCAGCTGTCTCCGGGGGCGGCGGCGGGGGGGGGGGGGGGGACCCCCCCCCCTCTCTACACTTCAGAGCAGTTAGATGGAAAGGTGCCCTCTGCAACGGGTGTGCAACCTGAGCCCGAAACCAGGAAGCACTAGAAAATTCATTATTTTCAGTTCCTGGCAGCCTCCTCCAGGCCCACAAGTCCCTTACCTTCGGTCTCTTACCCCGCCGGACTTCCCCCACCGAGCCTCCAGGGTGGCCTCGAGGTCTCAACGCATCCCTGGCTGCACTGCGTCCTGGAAGCTCCAGGCACCCCACAGTCCCAGTTTCCACACACAGGTGTCCCACCACCCCAGGCTTCTGCATCCCAAGGCTTTTCTGTCCTCTTTCCCCATCCCCCTCCCCACACCAAGCCTGGCCAGTCCAGCCCTTCTTCCTACCACCTTCCTACCTTATGCTCGTCCCTTCGGCCTTCCTAGCGCCCTGCATCAGGCAAACACTCCAAATCTCCCAGGGCAGACTTGACCCCTTGTCCAGGGCCCGCCCCCTAAAGCTAAAGTGCTGAGGGGACGGCTGCTAGGCACCTCCGCGCACTCGGCCTCAGTTTACTTAGCTGCACAACAGGGGGTGCTAAAGGGGTCCAACCCGGGGAGCTTCCCAGCCGCTGCCCTCCCGCCCGCCCGCAGCTTGCCCTGCTCCGCGGCGAAGCCTCACCTGGTCGCCCGGGCCCCGCGGCTTGCAGGGCTCTGCAGGCGGCCGCTTGGACAGCCAGGCTGGATTCCGGGTGGCTGGGACAGTAGGCGGCTGCCTGCACCGGGCCACCCGCCTGGCGGCCGAACACTGTGCGCAGCAGCGCCTCCAGCAGCCGGAGCCCGGGGGCCACCGCGTCCTCCGGCCCCGCCTCGGCCACCAGCACCCCGACCAGCGCCGCGCCGGCCCGCCTCCGGCCGCGCACGTCCCGCAGCATCTCCCGCAGGCGGCGCCGCGGCTCCCTGGCGGCCAGAGACGACGCGCGGCAAAGCACGAAGACCAGCGGGGAGCGGATGGCGCGCGCCGCCGTGCCCAGCGCCCTCTGCGCCCTGCACGCCGCCCCGGGCCCGGCGCTCTCCGCCGCCGCGCCGCCCGGCTTGCCCGCGGCTGGCTCGGGTGGGAACACGGCCGTGGCGAAGTCCCGCAGCAGCGCGCGGCTCTGCTCGCGCTCCCACAGCTCGCCCACCAGCAGCACCTGCCCGCGGCCCCCAGCCGCCTCCACCAGCGCCTGGAAGGGCGGCTCGGCCAGGCTCGCGGGCCGCGTCTCCAGCGCTTCCAGCTCGCGCTCCATGTCCCTCGGCCGCCGCGGCCCGGGAGCACCGCAGCCCGTCAATCCGGGCGGCTGCGCCCGGGACGGGAGGACACGCCCCTGAGGGCCGAGCCCCGCCGGACCCCCGGCCCGCAGGCGATGGCTCTGGCTCACCCGCCCGGAGCGGGTCCGCGGGGGCGGAGTGGAGGGAGGGGGCTTTCTCCTCCAACCCTCTAAGGGTGGCTCCTCCCGCAGTGCCTTGACCGACTAAGGGAAAAGAGTGTCTCCGATTCATTCATTCACCATCCATCCACCCACCCAACAAATACTTACAGGGCACCTACTAGGTGCAGTCTCAGGGTGGAGGAAGACAAATTATCATGTAAACAAGGTAAGATTGTTCTAAGACCTGTAGTAGATCATTTATTTCTGAGGAGTCCCACATGATTTGGGGGCAGGGCCTGGCTACCTGTGCTCTGTTGGCTTTGGAGTGGAGGTGGAGCGTGCAGATAAGGGGATAGGGAGGTGAGAGAAAGGAGGGGAAGCAGGGGCTACTTCTGCCATCCAGCTCTTCTCCTGGGCCTTGAACACTATCAAAACCTGCTGGAGGGCCCACTATTTCCACAAATGCTTACTGGTTAGGATCACAGCCCTTGGCATGGAGGCAAACTGGCTCCCTGTGGGGCAAATCTAGGGGAACGGGAGTGGGACTGCCTTGGTGCTCTGATCTGCCTGGAAACTGTTGGTAGGTCCGAAGCAGGACGGTATTTCCTTTCATCCTAAAGGTCTAGGTGAGTTTTGTCCATCAGAACATTCTGTGATGGTGGGACTGACTTGTTACCCGTACTGTGCAAGGCAGTGACCACAGGCCACATGTGGCTGTTACAGAGCACTTGAACCGAGGCCAGTGCAACAGAATTTTACATGTTATTTAATTTCAATTAAATTTAAATAGCTGTGTGTGGCTAGTGCCTAAGGCTTTTTATTTCTTCATCTATTGCAGAGTAATACACCATAGGCCCCTTTGTGTCAGCAACATGTTAATACCCAGCCCTGTCCTTCACTCTATAACCCTCAGTTCTTTCTTTGCCCTCTATAATTATGCTAAAACATTTCCCCAGACGGGTTTTGTGTGTCCCTAAAACAAATCTTTCTTGAACACCTTACTCTTTGCAAACAGTGGAGATTCAAACATGTATAAGACAGCCCACACTAAATATAATCATCCAACAGTTCTTTTAGCCAGCGTTTGAAGGGAGGGTCCTGTATCTTTATCAGGGTCTTCATTCATGTGACTTTTGAATTTTTTAACTTTCATTTTATTGGTGAGTATAATTATACATAATAGTGGGATTCATTATGCCATATTCATACACACACATAATTTGTCGTTCTCATTCCTCAGTGCCTTTCCTTTCTCTCTCCTCCTCCCTCGCTATTAATTTACATTCCCTTGGAATCTCTGCTCAAAGCAGAGATCAGGGCTCCAGATTTGGAGGGAGAATCCCTGGACTGGTGTCAAGATAGAGTTCCAGCACCACCAGGTTGGAGATACAATCATTCCACCTGTATTAGTTGAGTATCTACTGTATGCACGGTGTACAGTGCTTGGGAGACAACTGTGAACCAGCAAGTTTCTACCTCTGAGATGCTGCCATTCTAGTGGGTTGGGGAAGAGAGACAATAAACAAATAAACACACAAATGGCCATCAATGTTATGAAAAAATAATAATAGTGCAGGCCTGACAAGGTGGCAGTCTCCTTGAGACGTCGGCCCCTGTGCACATAGCACTCACCATGCTATAGAAGCAAGAGGGAGGTTAATGAGGACTCTTAGAAACTAAGGTAAAGCATGAGAAACCCCCACATCCTCCATCCCACTGTTGAAAAGTGGGCTGAGTGAACACCTTACATTCGCGCTCTTGTCTCTGGTGGGGATCATGGCCCACCCCTACCCCACCACAGCTCTGGGAGGCAGAGACAGCCTTGCTGGCTGGGTATGACAATGTCAGGCTGGGCTAGAAGCATGGAATAATGAGACCTGGCAGTCCCTTCTCTGCACTTCATGGTTCAAGAATCCGTGGATTCCAGTCACAGGACTCAGCTCATGAAAAGAACAGTGACCAGGGAGAGTGCTCTGAAGTTCTCTGAGAGGAACTTCATTAGTGATGGGAGGTGGCCCTCAGGGTGGGCAGGTTCATATCATAAAGCCACAGGCAATTCCCTTCTGTCCCCATTCCCTGAGCTCCCCAGGAGGGAGACAATAAAGGTAGACTGAAGCTCAGGTGGCTGTTATCCAGGGAAACATGAACTCACTGGGAAAAATAATTAGGTTTCTGGAAATCCTAAAACAAAGTTGATTTAAAGCACACATGAATTAAGTTTTGTTTCAGCTACTCATAACAGAGTCTAAATTGTGGCATAAGCACAACATTAGTTAATTTCTCTTTCTCATGGACACTTGTCAGTGGGTGACTTATGGTTGATACAGTAGCTTTGTTTTTCTAGGTCTCTGAGGACTCACGTTTGATTCCAGGTCACTGTCTCCTCTCATATCTTCATGACCCAAGCCAGATAAAGCTCCAGCCATCGCATTGCATCTGAGCAGTTTGATAGTAAAGGACTAAAGAAGGAATGAAACTCAGATTGATATCAAATCCAAACAGCAACATTGGATCTGAGAAAAAAAATGAAAATCGTTTCAAAGTATTGAAGAAAAATCACCTTAAACCTGGATGTGGATTTCTAGCTAGATTGTCAGGTGGACACAGAATCAGAAAGCTTGTCATATTTAGTCCCACTTTGAAAACACAATTAGAGGAACTATTCCATCAATAAGTAAATCAGGGATTGGGGGCACACCCCCGCAGCAGGGTGCTCGCCTGGCATGCACAAGGCCCTGGGCTCACCTCCAGCATCATCACAAAAAAGAAAGGAAGAAAGAAAAGAAAAAGAAGTCTCAGAGTGCTCAGTGATAGCAAGAAGAGGGAAAGGGGGTTAATTAAACCCCTGCCTCCATTCTCTGCAGAGCCAGCAAGCTCAGGCCCTTGGCTCTCCCTCCTGACCACAGTTCGCTCATGAGCTGAGGGCTGCAGTTGGAGTCCCTGACCCGTAGAATGGGGAGGAAGGACTGCCAGGTCTCTTTGTTCTGGGCTTGGAACCCCAGGTCACAGCTGTGTTCTCCTCCAGTGCCTGGTATGGGTGGGGTTGGTGACAGTCCCCACCAAAGACAAGAGCACAGTGTAAGGTGTTCACTTAGCCTACTCCCCCGTTTTTTTTTTTTTTTTTTGGCACTGGGTGGAGGGTGTGCTGGAGGCCTCCCTCCTGTTTTCACATTGATTTCTAGCAGTCCTCATAGCCTCTTTCTGCTTCTGTGGCAGGCTTAGGGTTCTATGCACAGAAAGGGGACAGTGCCTCAAGGACACTGCTAACCTTGTCTGTGGGCGCAAGCTGAGAAGGTGGCAGAGCCAAGGAGGGCCTTACCAGGTGAGCTGAAAGGAAATTGAGTCCACCTAGGTCACCTTTTGAGGAGCAGGGGAAGCCAGACTGTAGATGAGAGAACCTTCATTTTAGCCTCTCTCGCGAGGCTGATCTTAATCCAACACACTCTGCCTCCTGAGACATGTATCCTCAGCCCCTGGATTTTCAGATAACAAATCCCAAACTTTCCAGAGGTGGGAAGAGGGACAGATCAGAGAAGGGGTGGAATGTTAAGCAAAGGTTGGAGTCCAGGGCCAGTGGACTTTATCTTTCTCTGTTATTTACATGGCAAAGATTCTGGTAGGAAATTAACAGAAAATTACAAAAAAAAACTAAAAAAAAAAAGGGTGGAGGGGTGCCAAGAATGCTCCTTCCTCCTCTCCATCCACATTATGGGAAATCATCTGGTGTTTACTTGATATCTGACACAATCATTATGAATTTATCTTTATTGTATGGAGAGTGGAATGTCATCTGGAAATATGCTTAGGAATTCATGTCTTCATGCAGTGTTATAATCCTATAAGAATTTAAGGATTTTGAGTTTTTCAGCCTTTTCTTCTTCTTCTTCTCCTCTTCTTTCTTTGGGCATGGACCTGGGGGAGATCAACATTAAAAAAAAAAAAGTCACTAATTTGTTCTGGAGGCAAATTGAAAGACAAATCTGTAATGAAGTTCAACCTGCTTGGCCCCTAGTTCCTTGGTCACTAGTAGATACAGTGGGGCCCAGCAACTGGATGTCCATTTGATTATAAAACTTAAGTATTTATTTTGGTGTAATTCACAATCTTCTTCTCAGCATTTTTTTGAAAGAAAATAGGGACAATTTTAAAACCCACCCATTTTCCTGTTATTACTATTATTAGCACTCTAGATTTTTAGCAAAGTATTTGCTCAACAAATATTTATTGAGGGGCCATTATGCATCAGTTGCTGAATTAAGTCCTGAGATATGCATAGTTCAAAACTTAGATGGTCACTCTATGCCTCCGCCAGACCTCACAGCCCATAGTACATGGCTACAAATAAGATCATATAGCACATAGTGTTCTTCTATCTGGTTTAGTCACTGGATTTATATTTTCTCCATACTTTTCCACATCAACACTTATAGACTGACATCATGTCAGACAGCTGAATATATTGTGTAGACAATCAGCCATAATTCATCCCAGTGAGCGCCCCACTACTGTGAACTTTTATGCAATTATAAAAAGCAATTTCTGTGCACAAACTTACATGCATACACCCAGGAGCTGTGTTCACCATTTCAGGATGCTCTTTAATCGTCCTCCAATACACCAAGGTAGAAAGAAAACTGATCCTGTGCCTCAGCGTCTTTTTGACTCTTCTGGTTCGATGACTGCAGTTGTCCCTGGGTGGTCTTCCTGTGCACTGTCTGGCTTGTTTCTTTTGGGTTTTGCTGACTGAGTCTGCTTGCAAGAAGAGGGGGTTCCGCTTCCTATTTATAATGGCAAAACTACTTTCTACAGCAATGGCATCATCTCATGTGTTGGTCTTGTTTAGTCTCATTTTGTTTTGTGCTGGGGATCCACCCAGG